TTACCATAAGAGATTCAATCGTATAAGGAAACTGAGATTCGGGCGCCAAAAAAGCACTATGCGACCGCATGGTTATTGTCATTGCGGTCGCATGGTTATGCACTTTCAGCCTCTTCAATTCTCGGTATAGGTGTGTGCGACCGCATAGTATAAAGGCATGCGGCCGCATGGTTCCGCCAGACAACTTTCAGTATTTTAATCATAACTTTCTTTCCCAATGTCCAATTGAGGTGATTCAAGTTGCATTGGATAGCTAACTCAAAGTTCCACAATTTTTATTCAAAAGTCATCTCCCAATTCGATTATCTTCCATGTCAAAAATGGGTCCCAACATGAGACTAAAAACTGGTGTGTTGGTTTTCGATTGGAAATTGATGTATTGATCAAACTTTGATGTTATTTCATCCCTTTGACTTCATTCCTCATCCACTTGACCTCTAACACTTTCGACTCTTCATCATAATCTTGGACACAAGTTTGGATCATTTGCACTTTAGTCCTCTAACTTTCGTTCTCTTCGACTTTGGTCATTTTTCACTTGTTTCTTATCTTTTTCACCGAAATGCAACCTAAACCAAAATATAAGAGTAATGAGTGCATTTTGGCATAATATAATCATATGAATGCAATAGTTAAGAGGGGAAAATATGGTATTTTACACTCTTATCAGGGACCTTAGTAGGTCGGCCTGAAGCACAGTTGGAAGAAACGTCAACTTCCACTTTCCTTTCCATGGGAATATCACCCTAGTTATACTCCGGTGTAGCAACCCTTTGGCTTTGGATTGTTCTTGGAGCGTGTAGGAGGCATAGGGAAACCCCCTTGCCCTACATTTGGGCCATGACCTCCCTCATAGCCATATTTTGGCTCACAATGTCCCTCATGTTTGTGGCCATTGCAGCCATTTGTCTAGAGATTTGGGCGGCTATTCTTGTACCACCTCTTCGGTAATGGTGGTGGGGCCTACGATGAGCTGCTGGGGGTTGCCCCTGCATTTTCTCTTACCCTCCTGGGGGTGTATCCTCATCTGAGCTCATTTTTTCTTCTAGATTTCAACTTATAGGGCTTCCTCTTGCTGTTTTTCAAGAACAAATCCTTTTTCAAGGAGGATGCCTGAATGTTTATTTCAGTTAGCTTTCACAACACGATTGCTCGTGGTTATAGTATGATTTTTCACAGATGGTGCCAATCTGTTGATCCCAAAATATGTTGCCAACATATACTGGACCCACCTGCGCACATACAAGCCTAGTCCAACACGCTAAGACACGTGGACGGTCTGGAATGGGCAGATTGAGGACGTGGGAGCGGCTCAAAGGCGCGGGACAACAATGTTCGGAATTTGACGAGATTTGTATAATGATCGTATAATAATTTCGGATCACAATTTGTAGAATGTGTATGTAATCTTGAATTATCTTTGTAAGAGAGTGAGAGAGAGTAAAAGAGAGAATATTGGTTCTTGCATTAGCCATTGTATGGGGTATATGGGGGAGTATTTATAGTGTTACAAGTTAGATCGTGGCCCTCGATTGGGAGTACACGTGGCCTCATCTTGTTAGTTTACATGTCAAATTGTAGGTATCAAGTTTTAGTACCTAGCCTGCTGTACATTTATTAATTGGCAGAGCTATCGCTACATTGACAAGACAAGACACTTGCATTCTATGATGGGTGTCCCATCAATCATTCAAAGAGGATTCTTGTATAAGATTAGATCTCTGGAGAGAAGTGATACTAGTTGTCTTGCACTTAGGCTTTGATATAATGGGCCTCGGTATGAAGTGCCTCGGCTATATGTACCACTTTAGCCACTGCACTTCGGCATACAAAATCTGGGCCACGTCATAGGAGCTGTTTGCTGGTGTTGTTCAATCTTCATTGGCTTAGGAGCCTTGCCTGAAATGCTACATGGTTCAGCAAGGGTGGACCATAGGCCCCAGTGGGTCGGCCAAGTGTATCAACACATAACACTCATCTTGAGGGCCATTTACTGTGCACTTCCTTTTTGGGGGATATAACTTATGTGTCAATACGGTTAACATTTAATTTTATGTTTTTTTTTAAATTTAAGTGCAAAATTTTTCTACAAGTTATGTTTATAAATGAAGTCAACGATGTTCATTATATCAAGGAAAATTTTTATCATTTCTCTGCATTTATGATTTTAAGAGAAAATGAAATGGTAATACTTCCAAATCTAGGTATCTAGATTTGGGGGTTTTACCGATTCCTTCCTTCACTTCTAAGAAATCAAGGCAAAAAAGTCTATCTTTATTCAGAAAAAAACAGCAAGGTAGCTTCATCTCAATCCTTGAATTTTTATTTTGGAAAAAGGGGATTGATATGCTATAATCAATATAGCAATATCAACATAAATGCAAAAAATAGATAAAATTTATTTAACACCAATGAACTTCATTGACATCATAAATTGAGAAATAATAAAATTTTAGACAATTTTGTGAGATAACATAAATCGTCCGAAATGATTTATTTACAACAATGAGATTTATCAGAAGTACAAATGATTAATTTAGAATATAATTAGCCCATCTTGCCTCAAGTAGTGACATCGCATTACCTAACTCTCATCATCTGACAAATGAAGATGAATAACATGGAACGAATGCTCAGTAAATAAACACCAGGCATATGATGGATGCTTATAATATGCATATGATTTACTTTAAAATAAAATAAAACCAAACATTTCTCAACATATATTCCCTTTTTCTTTCATTTCTTTAAAAACCCTAACATTGAGAATGTGAGCTCACTTCGTATATAGTCTAGCTAATCAAAATACAGTGAGCCATGTCACCGCATTGACACACAACCCGTAACAAAAACATTATTCAGGATACATATCCTTTTAAAAGAAGATATTCATTCTCACCTTGACATTAAAAAACTCTTATTGGTATGATGAATAATCATTAAAAACATTTAGACATAAAACATAATGATTGCATATTAATTTCACATAAATACCAATCTAGATAACATATAAACTACATATAGCAAAGTAATATATCTTCACAGACAATTGGAAGTTTACTTACTTGAAATCCGTGAAAGTTAGATTTTAGAATGACAATTGGAGATATCCCTAGCCGCCCCCAAAGTTACCGCACCAAAAAAATGCCCTAGTTCATTACCATTTATTTAGAAATTTCAACAATATCTTAAACATCACTTCAGTCCAGACCATGTTCTACTAATTTTATTTTATTTATTTATT